TTTTCGTTTTTAAGTCTTTCCATTCAAGGACATGGCATTTCTCTCTGTATTATTTTCTTTTATGTCCTTTAGAAACATTAAAAAAAAAAAAAAGTAAAACCTTCATGTTTGTTTTTGACATTGCTAGTTCTATTTATTTCTAACTATTTGAAGTTTATGGCGACTTCTCTTGAATGGAGATCTTTTAATTCTTCTGTTGTATTTTGTTATGTATATTAGTTTCCTGTTGCTGGTTTGACAAATTAGTGCAAACTTAGTGGATTAAAACAACACATATTGACTGTCTTATAGTTTTGGAGGTCAGAAGTCTGGAGTCAGTCTCTGGATACTGGGATGGTGTTCACAGGCCTGTGTTCCTTTTAGGGCTCCAGGGGAGAAGCCTTTTCCTTTGTGCTTCCGGTTTCCAGGGTCTGCCTGCATTCCTGACTTGTAGCCCTGACTTCCATCTTTAAATTTCAGCAGGTGAACCTCTTCTTTGTCCTAACCTTCCTGTGAGGATCCCTGAAATTACCTTGAGCCTATCTGGCTAATCCAAGGTAACCTCCATATCTTAATCATCTCTACCAATCCTTCTGCCACATAAAGGAACAAATTTATAGGTTCCAGGGACTGGGGATTCATCATTCAGAATTCCATACTTGTTTTTGTAGGTATGTAGAAAATGATTTGGTTTTGTATATTTCTTTGAGTGGGGTGTACTTGCCAAACTCCTGTTATTTTGTATTTGTTTTTCAATTATTTTCAAACGATTCCATGTTTGGTTTCCAGTGATTCTCTTAGACTTACTGGCAGTGACATCATTTGTCCCTTTGTTTTTGGTATTTGTGGCTCAGTTTTCTTGCTACTTTTTCTACATTGCCTGGAATCTCCTGACTAATGCTAGATAACATCTGAGACCAGGCATCCTTGAATTGTTTTTTCTCATTTTCTTTCTTTCTTTTTCTTTTTTTTTAATGGAATAAGGCTAAACAAGAGAAAGTTCTGTCCTTTAAGGTCCAGGTTTATTCTTTGGTAATTAAACCTTATATCAAATGTGCATACTAGGGATGATTTCTTTATCACATATTCTAACTTACATTGTTCTTAACTGTATAAGAAATTGCTTCATTATTTTACCACTGAGTATGGAAATTTCTAATAAACATTATTAAATTAAGGAGTTTTTATCAAATCAAGTCCAAGTTAATTGAGATTTTAAATCAGGAATGTATTAACCCTTATGATTATAAAAGTAACCATATGGTTTCTTTTAGCTTATTAATAGCTTTTCCAATAATGTTCCTTTTGTATTCTGGGAATAAGTCTTCCTTGGTCATGGAACATTGTTCTTTGAAAGGACTGCTGACTTCCCTTTGCTCATATTTTGTTTTGGATTTTTGTGTGTATATTGACAAGTGAGTCTGGCATAGTGAGTTCAGTGATTGTGCTATTCTGTACCTCTTGGGCATTGTGAATGATCTAGTCATATTGAATGAATTGGGAAACTTTCCACTTCTTGTATTATCTGAAACTGTTTAAATAATATTGATAATAATAGTATTAATAATATTAAACATTATGTGTTTGAATGTTTCCAAAACACGGGGGCTCATGGACCACCACTCATTTCTACAACCATCTTTTATACCCAGCAGTGGTTTCATTGCCCTGGATCGTCTATACTTCCTCACCTGCTCTGCCCTGGAACACTTTAAATATAGTTGTGACCTGGGCAATAGGTTTTCTCTGTGCAGAACTGCTCAATGCACAGATAGGGAGTCACATCTACCAACTTAGCTTCATTAATAGAAACCTGTCAGGCCAGAGAGGTATACAGTATAGCCTTGCCTCCCATGGAACTTACTTTTAAGTGGTTTGGATATTGTATTTATTAAGCATTAATCATCTCAGTGTTCCTATGAAACTTCCTAGCAGGTCTGCTATATTATTTCTAGTTTAGGGGCAGAGATCATTGTTAACAGAAGTAACCTCTGATATCAGTTTGGAATAGGTAGTCTTTGTTTAAAAAAACTTGAGAAAGTCGATAAATGTAATTCATCACTTCAATAGACTTAAAGATAAGAACCACATGATCATCTCAAAAGATGCAGAAAAAGCATTTGACAAAATATAACACTCCTTCATGTTCAAAACACTAGAAAAAATAGGGATAACAGGAACATATCTCAAAATTGTAAAAGCTATTTATGCTAAGCCCCAGGTCAGCATCATTCTAAATGGAGAAAAATTGAAAGCATTCCCTCTAAGAACTGGAACAAGATAGGGATGCCCTCTTTCATCATTTCTATTGAAACACTAGCCAGAGCAATTAGACAGATGAAAGAAATTAAAGGGATACAGATAGGAAAAGAAGAACTCAAATTAGCACTATTTGCCAATGATATGATTCTATACCTAGAAGACCCAAAAAATTCCACCAGAAAACTTCTAGAACTAATAAATGAATTCAGCAAAGTAGCAGGATACAAAACCAACACCAATAAATCAAAGGAATTTCTATATATCAGTGACAAATCCTCTGAAAGGGAAATGAGGAAAACTAACCTATCTACAATAGCCCAAACAAAATAAAATACTTGGGAATCAACCTAACACAAGAGGTGAAAGACCTCTACAATGAAAACTACAGAAAGCTAAAGAAAGAAGTAAAGAAGGCTTTAGAAGATGGAAAGATCTCCCTTGTTCTTGGATAGGCAGAATTAATATTATCAAAATGACCTTACTACCAAAGCATTATACAGATTTAATGCAATTTAAATCAAAATCCCAATGACATCCCTCACAGAAATAGAAAAAGCAGTCAAGAAATTCATCTGGAAAAATAAGAGACCCAGAATAACTAAAGCAATCCTTAGCAGGAAGAGTGAAGCAAGTAGCATTACTATACCAGACCTTAAACTGTACTACAGAGCTATAGTAACAAAAACAGCCTGGTATTGTCACCAAAATAGACTGGTAGACCAATAGTACAGAATAGAGGACACAGAGACTAACCCAAATAACTACAGTTATCTTATATTACATAAAGGTGCCAAAAACATATACTGGAGAAAAGATAGCCTCTTCAACAAATGGTGCTGGGAAAACTGGAAACCCTTATGCAGCAAAATGAAATTAAACCCCTATCTCTCACCATGCACAAAGCTCAACTCAAAGTGGATCAAGGACCTAGGAATTAAACCATAGACCCTGTGTTTAATAGAAAATAAAAGTAGGCTCAAATCTCCATCATATTGGAGTAGGCCCCAACTTCTTTAATAAGACTCCTATAGCACAAGAATTAAAATCAAGAATTAATAAATGGGATGGATTCAAACTAAAAAGCTTCTTCTCAGCAAAAGAAACAATCAGTGAATAGAGAGCCTACAGCTTGGGAGAAAATTTTTACCCCTCATGCATCAGATAGGGCACTAATCTCTAGGGTATATAAAGAACTCAAAAAGCGAAGCACCAAAACAAACAAACAAACAAACAAAAAACCCCAAAACAAAACAAAACAACACAAAAAAAACAACAAATAACCCAATCAATAAATGGGCCAAGGACATGAACAGACACTTCTCAGAAGAGGACATATAATCAATCAACAAATATATGAAAAAATGTTCAACATCTCTAGCAATTAGAGAAATTCAAATACAAACTACTCTAAGATTTTATCTCACTCCAGTCAGAATGGCAGCTATTAAGAATACAAACAACAATAAATGTTGGCGAGGATATGGGGGAAAAGGCACACTCTTACAGTGCTGGTGGGATTGCAAAATGGTGCCAGCAGTATGGTGATTCCTTGGAAAACTGGGAATGGAACCACCTTTTGACCCAGCTATCCCACTCCTCCATGTATACCCGAAGGACTTAAAAACAGCGTACTGCAGGGACACAGCCACATCAATGTTTATAGCAGCACAGTTCACAATAGCTAAACTGTGGAGCCAACCTAGATGTTCTTCAGTGGATGAATGGATAAAGAAAATGTGGCATATATACACAATGGAATATTACTCAGCAATAAAAGAGAATAAAACCATGGCTTTTGCAGATAAATGGATGGAGTTGGAGAATGTAATGCTAAGTGCAGTTAGCCAATCCCAAAAAACCAAATGCTGAATGTTTTCTCTGATATATAAGGAGGCTGATTCATAGTGGGATTGGGGGTGGAGCATGGGAATATTAGATGAATTCTAGATAGGGCAAAGGGGTGGGAGGGGAATGAAGGAGGCATGGGGGTAGAAAAGACAGTGGAATGAGATGGACATCATTATCCTAAGTACATGTATGAAGACACAAATGGTGTGAATATACTGTATACAACCAGAGATATGAAAAATTGTGCTCTATATGTATAATATGAATTGTAATGCAATCTGCTGTCATATATAACAAATTAGAATTTTTAAAAATGGCAAAAAGCAAACAAAACAACAATAACAAAAAAAATTTGAAGAGTGTGCCGCTACAATAAACTGTACCAAATTTGGACTAAGCTGTATGTTGATTGCCATGAAACTGAGCAGAAGCCAGGAAGTCCTTCTATGATCATAAGAGAGGTGGAAGCCTAAATCAAGAGAACTGCCCTTTCATCATGAAAAGCCCAACTGCCCCAAATACTGTGTTTTCAATTCCTCAAGGAGCAATTCTCTGCTTAGATGTACCTCTCATCTCAAGATTTCAAACTGATGCTTATTTGAATAAATAAAGATGTCCAAAACCCAGGACAGTAAGTTGTAATTTAAACTTAGTAAACCAAGGGAATTTGCAGTGAATAGAGCTATTTTCTCTAATTGGTTATCTTCAGATCTTAACTCTTTTATCAGGACTGATTTACCTAAATATAAAAGTAGTGTCTCTTGAATATTTCTACCACTAATTTATAAATTAAAATACTGTTGAATCCATCCTATGCAAATGTTTATTCTTGGAAAATGCTTCAATTAAAAAGTTAGTATTTTTTTTTTGTATAGGGTGTAAACTGATTTCTCTCACCTTTCCACTTGCAGAAAAACAGATCATCAGTAATATTTCAGTATTTAATGAAACCTGTTTGAGATGGAGAAGTTTGAAGACAGATGATGCAGAAGAGATGTATTTAGTAAGTTACTGAATGTTACTTGTTTATAGATGCTTGTCCTGTAAACCTAAAAACTACTTCTATAGCTTCCATCATCAATAGAAGTAGTTGCATCAAGAAGCAAGAAAACAGCACTTCTCCCGAAAGGCAGAAACCCTTGCAGGATGGTTCGAAAAATAATGTGCTTCTCTGTCCATACATCCTGGTGTAGATGCTCAGGCAGTGACTGTCCTTGAAAAGCATCCAGTTGTGTCTATTCAAACCAGTGTGTCTGAGCAGAATCTAGATGCATTGCCTGGAGACTCAGAGGGAACCTTTGAAGCTAGACATGGTAGTGAGTAAGAACCTGAGAAACCATGGGATAAGCTGCTACTAGAAGAAATTAGGAAGAAAAAGGTCCTTTGGCCTACGTGCTTGGATACCACTGGAAAGTGTAGGGTCACCATAAAGGGGTGAGCAGAGGAGAAAATTTTCTCTTGAGTTTTACCTGCTAGGTGTATCTTAAGTCAGGTTCTGCTTAGTTCAGATTCTTAATTTGATTTCCAGGAAAATGTTTTTGGCCTTGCTCTTGTTTTACCAACAGGCTTCCGTGTTAGGCATGCACACTAGATATGTGAGGCCAAGAAACAGCAAGTTGCCAGCACTGAGGCTTCAGTCTTGTGCATTTTTATTTAAATACTGATGTATAATCCTCATATTGTAAGCACAATATATACAGTATTGCAGCTTTACTGTTTGCTTACTATTACATTTTATGTTTTGAAGAAGCACAGTTGGGAGGGTGGGAGAGGAAGGAAGCTCATGCCAGATATCAGGTATCAAGGCACCCAGAGCCTTTCAATCCAGCAGTTTACCCGGTGAACTTTTTTTATGTTTTAGTTTCACATTTGGGGCCAGAGATGGTATCAGAAGGAATTTTCTCAGGAAATGATCTTTAATACCACTACCAGCAGCCAAGCTCCTGAGATGTGCCTGGACCTGTATCCGGGTACCAACTACAATGTCAGCCTCTGGGCTTTGTCTTCAGAACTTCCTGTGGTCATCTCCCTGACAACCCAGATAGCAGGTAAATCTTGAATAACAGCATTTGGATTAACCAAGTCACCATAGAGTTGTTGATAGGCCTAGGTAAAGAGGAACACTGTAGTGTACAATGAATCAAAATGCATTCTGCTGTCATATATACTTAATTAAAATAAATAAATAAACAAATTTAAAAAAAGGAGGAACACTGTTGCTTTCTCTCATTATACAGTGAACAGAGAGAGGGGGGGGAGAGGGAGGAAGAAGGACATGGACTTGGAGAGAGATGTTAAGCAGCTTGAAACTGTTGACCACATGTTTTATTTCCTAAAAATCTATTTCAAACAAAATGTTAGTGTGATTTAAATCCAGGTAGTGTATTCATGAGTATTGGTTAAATTATATGGGGAATGTTTAAAATATGTCCTACTAAAGATTTCCTGTTACTCTTTCTTAGTAACATATTCAGTTGGAATTCTGCTGCAAGCACCTTAAGAGTAGGTTACTATCAGGGGAGAGTGATCAGCAGTGTCACCATAGACACCTAGTAAATTAACTTTCTTTTCATTTTCTCTACTGTCTTTAAATCTGTGAATCCTGCTTCCCTGCTGCCAAAGCGGTTACTAAGATTATTAGCCCGTTTCTCCCTCCCTCCATTTCTTTCTTTCTTCCTTTCTTTCCTTCTTTGTACTACGGGGGATTGAACATAGGGTCTCACACATGCCTGGCAAGCTCTCTATCACTGAGCTGCATCCCAAGACTATTAAAAAAAAAGTCACTAAGTTGCCTTGTCTGGCTTTGAACTTGGGATCCTCCTACCTCAGCCTCCTGAGTACCAGGCTAAGTATTAGCTTCTTGCTTCTTGTCTCACTGAGAAATTAGAAGTCATCAGGTGAGGACTTTCCAGTTCAAATCTCCCATTCCTACCTGTCACCCATATATTTTGCCTTCCCTCCTGTCTCTGGTCCTATCTAAAGCTCCCATTCCCTCCGCTAGGTGTTGGATCCCATCCGTTCTTGTCTAGTCGTCCCTTCCCCCAGTATAGAAGTATTCCCAGCACAGCCAACTATCTCCTTTATTAAAGAAAATAATGGAACAAGTCCACACACTCCCACAGAGCCCATGTTCCCCTCCAACTGTTCTGCCTTCTCAACCTCCCTTTGTATTAAAATTCCCTAAAGGAATATCTGGTTTATGGGCTCTGCATCCTTATCTCCTGTTCTCCTTTCACTCACCCCACTTGGGAGGCATCTGACTTACTGCTTTACAGAAAGGGTCTCCATTCAGCCTCCATCTTGCCAGCTCCAGTGGGTAATTTTGTTCTCTGATTTTCTCTATGGTATTTGATGCTTCTTCTCAAGACATCTTTCCCCTTGCTTTTGGGTTCTTCTGTTTAACTGGCGATACCTTCTCATCTACTTTGATAAGCTCATCTGCTTTTATTGATCCCTCTTTGGCTTCCTCCTCTTCCCTTTTCTTCACTATCTACTCTTCTTAGGTGATCACCACCAATCTCAGAGCTGTAATGACTCCATGCTGATGATCTCCAAATATGTATTTCTAGTCTCAACCTCTTCTGGGCCCCAAACTCATATATCCCCCCATCTTCTACACATACCCTGTTGAACACCTAACAGGTAAATCAAACAAGTTTTTGATTTCTCGCCTTTTCCCTTACCCCTAAATCTGTTTTCCACCTAGACTTCTCTACCTGGGTTATTGACATTCATCCAGTTGACTGGTAAGACCAAAAAAAAAAAAAAAAAAAAAAAAAAAGGAGAACTAATTGACTGTATTCCACTCCCAAATTTCTAATCTATTGGAAAGCCTATTGGTTTGCTGTTCAAAATGTATTCTGCATGAAGCCATGTATCTTCTCCTTTGCCTTTGCCACTAGCATCCTGATCCAGCAACAACCAGCTGCAGTTGTTTCCTGTTTTCCTCTTTCACTCTTGCCTGTTCCACTCCACCCCGACACAGTCTTCATCTTCACCGTACCTTTAAAAAGATTGCTCATCAGCCACAGCGTGCTTTTAAATATAAGTACTAGACTATGTCAGCGCCGCTGCAAACCTTCCAGTGAGTTTTCATTAAAGGTAGAATAGAAGCCAAGTTCCTTAGCATGGAGCATGTGAACTGGCCCCTGCCTACCTCATTGAATTCCTCTCCCCTGCTTTCCTCCTCTCTCATCAAGCATCAGCTCTCTCCCTGGCCTTCTTGATAGTCCCTGAATAGGTCACACTTATTTTGCATCCAGGCTCTTGAATGTTTTCATTTGCTATGTCAGCGCTTCCTGGGACACAATCATGCAGGTATCTTAGTCAAACACCATCACTCTTGCCTTTGTCCATTTTGTGTTGCTAAACCTGGACATCACAGACTGGATCATTTGTAAAAGAATACAGCATTAGTTAGCTTGTGGGTTTGAGTGCTGCTAAGTCCAAGAGCCCAGGGCCAGCATCTGCTCAGATCTGGTGAGGGCCTTTCTGCTGGGTCTGGACATGAAAGAGCAGCAAGGCAGAGCAGAGTGACCCGGTGGGAGCTTGCTGTTATTTGAAGCCACTCCCTCCAGAGCCCATCAGTCCTAGAATGATTAATCTGTTCGTCAGGGCAGAGCTCTCTTGACCCACTCACCTCAAAGATCCTGCCTCTCAAATACCATTCACATATGATTTTGGGAGTAGGTTTCTAAGACATGAAAACTGGGGGACACATTCAAACCATGGAGAGAAGCCTCTTCAAAAGTATCCTCCTCAACGTCCACTCTATTATTCTCCATTCATTTACCCTGCCTACATTTTTTTCAAAGAACTTGTTTTCTGAGAAAAATTTGGTTTGCTTATTTTCTTTCTCTCCTACTAAAATAGCACTCTTCAAGGCAAAGGTTTTGTCTGTGTTTTTTTTTTTTTAATTGAATGAACAGCTTATAAGGACAGTACTGATAGACCACAACAAATACTTTTTTGAACAGTGGCCTCATGATTTTGTGGGTGGGTGGTATTGGTGTTGGGGACCTTCCTGGTCAGTCAATAAATATTTTACACCAAAAAAGAATTCATTACAGTTTGGGCTGGAGGGACAAGTAGTATTCCATCTGGCTATTCCTTCCCAAGGTGACTTATTAAAATGAATAGCTATTTAGTCTCCTACTCTTTTGTTCTTGTCATATTTGGGTAGACTACTTTTCTGATTTGAATTAATATTTCATACTTTTTGAGTAAGAGGTAGGGGCTTCCTCTTGATGAGACACATTTCTACCTTGTTTTGTAGACTAAACATAGCTCTAGTCACTCAAGCTCCCAGTGTCTGCATTCAAGGCCACCAGGGGACGCTGTTGAGCTGCTCAAGTTCATTGAGACCAGGAGGCTGCTCAAGGTCTTTGAGATTGTGACTGTTTCCTAACTTGGAGAATTCGCCATTTTTAAAAAAGCATAAAAATTCAAGTTGTTAAGACTTTATTAAAGAGTTTAAAAGAACCCTCTTTCATTTTATAAAAGGGGCAAGAAAGATCCTCATGTGTTGATGTAAAGAGATACTCCTCCTCCTCACCTAACATGCATGTGGCTTTATTTCAGTAAAATCATGAACTTTTGAATCTTACCAGAAATGTTAGTTAAGGATTTGGGTTTGGAAATGCACCGGCTGATTTCCCAGAAGAAAAGCGAGTGGAATTTCCCTTCTGTGTATCTTCCATTAAACTCAGTCTTACAGATGGGAACAGGATGAAAGCAAATGCTTTAAATATATTGCTGACCTCAGAGGAGAGTGAAAGTTGTAGGAATGTTGAGGGACAGAGGCAAGTGTTTCAGTGAACTGGGAAGAGGGTGCTGGAGAGGGGGTGGGGAGGTGGCGGTTCTGTCCCAGTGTTCCTGGCTGGTTGCTAATGTGCTGGCTTGGGTGGCCATGGAACTGAGTTCTTCAGAGTATTCCCAGCATTCATATCCCTTTAGGGCAGGGTAGAGAACAAACTTTCATCCTTGATATAAACCCCAAAGAGTATGAAGAGCTTTCATGAATTGATTATACTATTTTCTGGCATAGTCTAAAAGCTTGTAGGCAAACTTTTCTTTTCATAAGGAAAGAAGGTAACTGGAGAGGAGAAAGGGAGGGTGGTGTTGGGGCAGGGGTGGGGAGGGAGGAAGAAAACAATGTGATGTGTGTGTAAATGTGTACTACACAAACGTCGTGGTCACTTGAGGTCAAATGAGTATGTGGAATGGAGAATGCTGGAGGTAAAAAGGGAAGAAGAGACGGAAAGGAAATTATCCCATCTCTATGCTCAGTACCGGGGCTGGCAGCTTGCGTGGGGCCTTTCTCATCTCTAATTGCATTCATAACAAGAAGAGAAGGGAGAGTGCTTTTCAGATGGTTAGGAAAACACAGGTATGTCTCAAGCATCATCGGACTGTCACTTTGTCAGCCAGGGTTGCCTTGCTTCTCCCTGCCTCCTCTCTTTCTGCTGGGTGTCCCTGGGGAGAACGGTGCAGGACTGGTTCTCTTGATTTCTTCTGCTGTAGGCTTTCCTTTCATGGTTGGCTACTCACAAGTCATCTAAAGACATCCTTAGGGCCTTGGTGAGATCCCTGTGCCCTGTAGCTGGTTCCAGGACCTCACAGGCATTCCTGGGGGGGCTGAAGCTGCATCAGGGGTCCATAGAGGTTGGCCTTCACCCCAGTTGTTTCCTTTCCAAGCCTTTTGTGGTTAAAGGCTCTTTGGTATCTGGAGACCTAACACTGGGTCAGGCCAGGAGTGGCTCATAATCCCCTCCAAACTTCTATGATCCACGCATTTCTCCCATTTCTAGAAATTTCCTGACTACTTTCTAATCCCAGGTCCCCAGGTAAATGGCTGTGTGTGGATTGTATCCTCTCACTAAAGCCATCTGAACCCCAGTCAGTCATCACTGAGATGGGTGATCCACCATAGAGGGAAATGGACTGGCTGGGTCATTTCCTTATATTAACTTTAGCTTTTAAAAAATATGTATAAAAAGCTTCCTTAGATCAGAAACCTAAAAACTGGAGTTTGTGTTGGGGGTAGGAG